GAGTAAAGCCGTCAGCTTATAATGCTTCTTCTGCTTCCATTCCTTGGTTCTCTGGGGTTAATTGCCTAGCCTGTCCCGGCCCTTAGAACACGGCAGTTTCGTTTACTTTTCACGGACCTTCTTCAAACTGGCCTTTGGGCTTGGGCAAGCGGGGCCTATTGGGTAGAACATAAAAGATTCGCGGAATCTACAACTATACATATTTGTTGGTGAAATCAAGTGTTGATACATTTGATACCTCGTGCAAGTTCTAGTTTATAACCTGAAAGAGGAGCTATTTGATCTTGTTCACCGAAGCTAATGATTTGAGATCTTCTACCTTAACCGCTTTATAGCAGTCTAGTCTCTTCTGGGTATGAATCTGAGCCTTAGCATTAGTGCCTTGGATCCTAGGACTGATTACAGGGAATGGATGATGGAAGATAGAGATGACAGCTCTTCCTATGAAAGATTGTCAATACCGGGAACATTCATCTAACGATTCAACTATATTGAAGGTTTTATAATCTTAGTCTGAACTAGCAATGCTATGGTACTTGGAACTCTTTTATATAAAAATAGAATAGAAAAAGACTAGAAGTTATTCAATGAATCTACTAAGAGTAAACTAAGAATAAGAAGCAAACTCGTTTATTTAACATAACAGAGAAATCTCTTCTTTTTAAGACTTTTTCAAGATAAGAAAAGATGCAACAAATCACTTTCTTTCTCCTTAGCCTTAGTACATATTAGTGCTAAGGGTTGAAAAACTTGAACTTGGTTGGTGTTAAGTCACCCGTACAATATCGAAAAGCACATGTGAACCCCGAATAAAGGGACGTTTGAGCGGAGCTATAGTGCTTCGATTCCCTCTTTTCGGGTAAGAAGTGAATAGAGAAGGCTTCCCCGAGGACTCTAATTTTATGGCCTCTGAGAGGGAATAGAATCCGACTGCCCCGCACCATGCTAGCATTCGTTCAGAGTCGACAAGAGGAGGTACTCACTTCAATCTACAATCGGCGGTGGGAGCTCTTTTCTTTTGAGTAAAGATATTACGAAGGGGAAACTATTCAATTAAGATATGAGAAGGCTATTCAGCTGCTCAACAAGACTCTATGAGCGTTGCTTGAGTTGTTGAAGGAATTAAAAAGACCCTTCGTAAAGCACTCAAATGACAATTCCTGCCTACCCTATTACATAACCTCTCACATTTGTTCGAGTGTAATTCTTCCTTTATTACTCAATTACTCATATAACTTAACTGGCTAGCTTGCCTAAGTAAAGGACTGCTGCTTTCAAACTAACTAGCCAGAAGAGGAGAGCGCTAACTTGTCTTCCCCAGCTTGCCTTTTTAAACTTTCATTTCAATGGAAGACTCCCTAACTATCTAAACTGATAAAACTGCTACTAGCTCACAAGAAGAAGAGAAGAAGGGCCCTAGTCTTCAAATCGGGATTTCATAAACCAAGAGCCAGAACAGGTTTCACCCCCATCCCACTACCCAAGCTTTTGGTGCTGCTAGAAAGCGTTCAACCGACCAGATCTACTGAATAAACAGAGTCGACTAGATCGAGATCATAATCTGAATAATCGAGATCTTCATCCCTATCACGATCACCAAATTAAACATCCTTACTTTCCATGGTAATACCCAACAAGCATTAGCTCCCCCTGACTCGTATGCCCCATATTGGAAGGCTTCGCTCCACTAACTGGAATTGGCAAAAGATCCCTTCCCAGATTATTCCATTCAACAGCTGGAAATAAGGCAAGGCAGATCATTAATGCGATTTTTTCTTAAAGAGGAACCCTACCAAGGCAGAGAGCATCGGAGCACCGGAAAGAAGCGCTGCTCCAGGGAAACACGGGTGACGGAGCTGCAAACCAAACGGAAAGGGCGAAGGAGACGGCGAGGAAGAAGGATCGCTGGTTAGTCGAGTGAAGGACCCGCCCGGGGGTTTCCTCGGCTCGCACCGTCGTAATGTAACTGTGCACAGTTATTTCTATATGGGTTCTGTCATTCTGGGTTGTCGACTCACTCTATGCTGCAGGTTGAATTGTTCCAGAACCGCTTCCACGGAATTTTAGGGATTTGGTCTGCTGTATCAATGCACCAGTACGGACTCCCTCTATGGATTGGTTTGATTTCCAAATAATATATTAATCTTGTAATATATTAATAAAACCATTTTGAGTACGAATTTATTATTCATATAATAAATTCTACTATCTCTCTTCTTGTCATCCTATCAAGTTGCATGAGTGAAGGCAACCCAAAAGGACCATCCTCATAATCGGGTCAAGTACATACCAAAATAGTTATGGGCTTAGACACCTAATCCAACAAAAAAAAGAGGAAATAAACATCAAAGATATCCCATTGGAATGTGACTTTCCGGATGTATTTCCTGAAGACCTTCCGGGAATACCCCCAGAAAGACAGGTCGAATTTCGAATCGACCTAATACCGGGAGCCACATCAATTGCCAAATCACCCTACAGGTTAGCTCCCGCCGAAATACAGGAGTTATCAAGTCAATTAAGCGAACTCTTAGACAAAGGATTCATCAGGTTGAGCTTCTCACCCTGGGGAGCTCCGGTCTTGTTTGTCAAGAAGAAGGACGGATCCTTTAGAATGTGCATCGACTATCGGGAGTTGAACAAACTCACCATCAAAAATCGATATCCACTCCCTTGGATTGATGATCTATTCGACCAGCTTCAAGGAGCCAGTTATTTTTTTAAAATATATCTAAGGTTTTGTTATCATCAGCTCCGAGTCCGGGAAGAAGATATTCCTAAAACTGTTTTCCGAACTCGATATAGCCATTTTGAATTCGTTGTTATGCCCTTCGATCTGACGAATGCTCCCGCATCATTTATGGACATCATGAATCGAGTCTGCCGCCCATTCCTCGACAATTTTGTAATTGTTTTCATTGATGACATACTCATATACTCTCGAAGTAAGGAGGAGCACGGTCAGCATCTACGCCAGATCTTGGTAACTCTTAGAGCTGAAAAGCTATATGAAAAACTCTCCAAATACGAGTTCTAGATTCGCAGTGTGAATTTCTTGGGTCATGTAGTAAGTGAGGAAGGAATTCATGTGGATCCTTCCAAGATCAAAACTATTGAAGGCTCGGCGATTCCGAAAACGCCAACGGAGATCAGACAATTCTTGGGTCTTGCTGGTTACTATAGAAGGTTCATTCAGAATTTCTCCAAGAGTGCCAAGCCCCTCACCACTCTAACCCAGAAGGGCGTACCCTTCAACTGGACTGACAAACAAGAAGCTGCTTTTCAAACCCTGAAGTGAGCCCTCTGTAGTGCTCTGGTGTTATCTTTATCAGAGGAATTTTGGCCTTAATGGACTTAAAACGTCATTTTTATCAAAATGGGCCTTATTTACAAACTTTCGGTTTTAATGGGCTTAAAATGTCATTTGAAATGAAAATGGGCCTTTATTGTAAATTTTTGGCTTTAGTGGGCCAATTTATAAAATTTTAAACAAAAGTGGGCCTTTATTGTAAAAATTCGATTTCTTGGGCCAAAAAGGTCATTTCTAAGAAAAATGGGCCGTTTATGTCATTTTTAGCACAAATCGGACTAAAACGATCATTTTCATAATAAATGGGCTCTTTACGACATTTTTACTCGAATTGGGCTTGCCACACCCATAACATGATTATTGGGTTTGTTATCATCATTACTTGTTTATTGGGCCTTATAGATCCATTGATTTTCTTATTGGGTCTCACGACACATTTTATATTAATCGGGCTAATAACAAGCAATACTTGACATTTTGATAAAAACAAATGGTATTTTCATCACCAATGTTTTGTAATCAAATGCGTACTCGAAACATTATTTTAAAGCGGTAAATAATGTGATACACTGTTCGCGTAAACTTAGTTAAGGTTCTTGTGAGACACGCCTTTATCCGTACCTCCTAGTGTACAACCTTAAGTCATGTAGTTATAACCAGAGTCTCCTGGAGGGAGAGCGAGAGTTTGTGTATAGATCTATACGGGGTTGACAACCCCACACCTGAGCTGTTCGCTACAGGTAGACTAGGCCAGTCTAGGGTGACAATTGTCTTACCTTAAACAAGCGATGCTTGAAAAACGTCACGACAGACATATCAATCACATCAAGCCTAGTTATAACGAATCACATAGAGATTAACAAACATAATAAGTTTATGAATACACATACTATACTTTCGATACATGTACGAACTATTCATTCCTACAACACTCGGGTCTTATGGTTTTAAGACTACAACTCTTTTACAAGCAGAAAATATCGAATTTTCTGGGAAATAAATTAGACACAACCATTTACTTATTACAGAAAATATATGATTTTCTGGAACTCTCTCTTTATACGTTTTCAAAAACATGAACACACATGCTTTAATACAAGATTTGAAACAAAACTCTCAAACCAATTTTACGGAAAATATCGGATTTTCTGGTGTTTACAAATGATACAAAACTTTTCATACAAACATGCTTATGAACTCACCAACATTATATATGTTGACGTTTTTCAAAATAACTTGTATTTTCAGGGAATCGTTAAGCATGTTGGTCATCAAGAACACATAGATTTTTGTGTATTTTTGTTATCATCATACATTTGACATTTGGAATGTAATTTGTAAACCAACACACTGATGTAAACTATGATGGTTGTTATTTTTCATGTGTGATGATGATGTTGTCTTTGATTCAATTATATACACTGTGATGATATTACAAGATGAAGTCACCAAACTCCCGGACGTTTCCGCCGTCTGGTTCGGGGGTGTGACAGAACGGATGATTAAAAACGAATAGTTATATCACATCAAGAACTCATAGAAACGAATTTTGGCTCAAAAGAATCTACTGCGCAGTTTAAATCGCAAGACCTGGCTCGTAAGATCAAGTTTATTCTCGTTAGAAGAGTCATGTACGATGACGCGATTCTAATTGTTTTACCTGCGAGATGAACAGAAAAATACAGAGGAAATGGTGAATCGAGATGTTGAAATGGTGAATTCCTCGATGCAGAAGTGGTGACTTTTGGGTTTTTTCTCTCCAATGTATGTATGTGTTTGTGAGAGATTTTTGAGCTGCAGATGAGAGAGAGAGAGAGAGAAAAGGGTGGGGTAGCTTAATTCTTTTTTTTATTATTTTTAAATTGAAAATGTATTAATATAAATTTAAAAAATAGAATAAAAAATGAAAAGGATAAAATAGTATTTTGAAGTTGTTTAGGGACTAAAAACACGAAAAATAACATTTTATGCAAGTGAAAACCTTTTTATCCAAATTTTTTTGAATACCACATAACCAATCTTTCAGTTTTGTCTAATTAACCTTTAAATATCTGCGAAGGAGAAATTATTATGTACACAAAGGGCAAAATCGTCAAACAAGAAAAAAGGAAAATAGGGTAAGTTTGGATTTCGATCTCCATCTCGCCACTTTATCTCACAAATAACGCACACATATTCCTCAACTCCACGGCGTCGATCCGAGGAGTTTGAGAAAACCCTAATCAAAAGCTTCTACTCTCTCCCTCAATCTCTTCAACACAACCAGGTATTATTACATCTATTTACATTTTTTTCATTGTTTCTTTTTTGTTATTCGATTCGTTCCCTTTTCCCCCCGTTCTTTTGCTTGTGTAAGTAAATCGATGTTCGTGTTTTGGTTTCTATTTTCACTTCTTGAACGATGAAGTTATATATATATTTTTCTTTTGAGTTCACAAATTATGCGTTCTGTTTCTAGTCTTCTTTTGGTAGTGATTAAGATGTTATGTTAGGCGACTGTATAGTGAATCACTTCAAGTTGGGTTTGAGTTAGATCAATATTGCTGCATCAACGCCAAGAACATTGATTTTTTATCCCGAGTATCGCATCTCATTTTTTCGAATACGGAGGAAACAATTGTGACTGTTTGTGTACATACCGTGATTGCTTGGAAAAATAAAGGGAGTTTAGTTCTGCAAGTTATTAGTAGCCCCCCCAGAAGGGCCAATTGAGTTGCTAAAAGGCTATTTCTTTATTGTTTATTTTAAGCTTTCACGATTCATATGTATGTGTCTCAGTTTTGTTTTGTGTATATATGATGCATTGATGCATGTGTGGTGGTTTTCTTAACTACAGAAGTCATGTTCCCTTTTTCAGGCTATTGGTAACATTTCAAGCCATTTTTGTGCCTTTTTATGTATATGACTATAAGAACACATGCTCATATCTTTGAGTTACAAATTGTTTACTACTTTAGCACTCTATGACTCCACAAAAGTGCTTCATCATCACCTAAATACCTACTATATACCCTTCAACAATTCAAAAATACAAGTGATTTATGTACCAAAACTAATACCATCGATAATACGTATTCTGTAATGATAACAGTTATGGTTAATCTTTGCAGTCATGGCGGGCATAGCACCAGAAGGATCCCAATTCGATGCACGACAATTTGACTCCAAGATGAGCGAGTTGTAAGATTCATTTTAATCTTAGTAGCTGCTTATTATTCAAGTGATTCATTTTATTCAATATTTAAAGCTAAAAAGTTAGCAATATAAATGTTTTAATCGATAATGTAGGCTTTCAGCTGATGGACAAGACTTCTTTACATCATATGATGAAGTCTATGACAGTTTCGATGCCATGGGTCTCCAAGAAAATCTCCTGAGAGGCATATACGCATACGGTATTACATCTAATTGCACAACCACATATTGTTAAATCACCAATTCACTGTTGTGTAAATTACCAATTTGCCCTTTGAAAATTTCAGGTTTTGAAAAACCATCGGCCATCCAACAAAGGGGAATCGTCCCCTTCACCAAGGGCTTGGATGTAATTCAACAAGCCCAATCTGGAACTGGAAAAACAGCCACTTTCTGCTCTGGAATCCTCCAACAACTTGACTACAATGTAGTCGAATGCCAAGCTTTGGTTTTAGCCCCAACACGTGAACTTGCACAACAAATTGAGAAAGTGATGCGGGCCCTCGGTGATTACTTAGGTGTCAAGGTCCACGCGTGTGTTGGTGGGACCAGTGTCCGTGAAGACCAACGCATCCTTTCAGCCGGGGTCCACGTGGTTGTTGGGACACCTGGACGCGTGTTTGACATGCTCCGCAGGCAATCCCTTCGTGCTGATTACATCAAAATGTTTGTTCTTGATGAAGCTGATGAAATGCTTTCACGAGGTTTTAAAGATCAGGTAACAATCCAATATAATATGGTTAACATACTTCTACACATTTCTTTACTAATAATATTTTTTTTTTTAAATAAAATTTGTTCAGATATACGATATTTTCCAGCTGTTGCCCTCAAAGGTTCAGGTGGGGGTGTTCTCCGCCACCATGCCGCCAGAGGCTCTGGAAATCACGAGAAAGTTCATGAACAAACCGGTGAGGATTCTGGTCAAACGTGACGAGTTGACTTTGGAAGGAATCAAACAGTTTTATGTGAATGTTGAGAAAGAAGATTGGAAGCTGGAGACATTATGTGATCTGTATGAGACGTTAGCAATCACTCAGAGTGTGATTTTTGTGAACACGAGGAGGAAGGTTGACTGGTTGACCGATAAGATGAGGAGCCGTGATCACACGGTGTCAGCCACACACGGTGACATGGACCAGAACACGAGGGATATAATCATGCGGGAGTTTCGTTCGGGGTCTTCTCGTGTTTTGATTACTACTGATTTGTTGGCACGTGGGATTGATGTGCAACAGGTGTCTTTGGTTATTAATTATGATCTTCCAACACAGCCCGAGAATTATCTTCATAGGATTGGTCGAAGTGGAAGGTTTGGGAGAAAAGGTGTGGCCATTAATTTTGTGACTTTGGAGGATGAGAAGATGCTTGCGGATATTCAGAAGTTTTATAATGTTGTCGTGGAGGAGCTGCCGTCAAATGTTGCTGATTTGATTTGAGGATTTTGGTTGGTTTTTGTGTCTCGGGACTTGGATTTTGTTGGTGTTTGTTTGTTTTTTTTTTTTTTTTTTTAAGTTATTGAAAGATTTTGGCTTTGGAACTACAATATGTTTGTATTCTCAAGTTTTAGTTTCCCGGAACTGTATGGATTAGTTTATTTGTTTAAATTCCAACTTTTGGTATGCTTGCAATTTTGATCCAATTTTTTCTCTTTTTAATGGACTATTTTATAATTGTTTGTTATGATTGTGTGAATTATAATATTAACTAATTGAATAAGTTTGATATAAATCAATTTAGAGGAATTAAAACTATCATTTAATAGCCGAGAGAATAATAGAAAAGAAAGGAAAACAAAATTTTATTGTGTTCTGATAAGTGGAAGAAAAATTAATCATTTTGTTTTTTTTTTTCAAAATCCTTCCAAATCGGAAGAAAAATTAAGAGGGTAAGTAATCCTTCCATTTCACTTCACTTCTTTTCTTACTGGAACATAAATTTCTTTTATTTTCTTTTCATATCCATTCATTTCCTTTCTTTTCTCTCGTTAAGTTGAACTCGGGAACGGGGTGTAAGTTTCTAGTAGGCTTGTTCTAAATGAAATCCAGAAATCTAACTGAAATTAACTTATTTGTTGATGATTTTAGTGCAGTTAGGATTATATTTTAGACAAGTCGAGTACCTTTTAGTTATATATTTATAACTTAAGAGGACCCAGAAACATGGGGTTTGAGGGCAACGTCTCTAGCGGGGTTCCTAAACTTTGCGTCCATTACGAGGGCGTTGTTTTCACTCTTAAAAGCGTCAACTTCTATGTTATATATAAAGTATTAGAACTTTGCAGAAGATATAGTACGATAAATGCTTATTCTCTCTGCAATTTGTCCATGGAAAAAGCTAGGGGTGAGCAAAACCGAAAACAAAAACCCAAAAACCGACAAAAACTGATAAAACCGAAACCGAACCCAAACTGTCGGGTTTGAGTTTAAAATTTTGAAAACCGATTTTTTCGGGTTGGGTTTGTTTGCCTTGTCAAAACCGACCCATTGAAACTGACCTAACCCTACGGTTTTGAAACTGTTTTGAACCCGACACGAGCCAACCTAACTTTTGGTTGTAACGAACTATTTCTATGTTACTTTGATTTTCATGTTTTTGGTTATGAGCTTCAAAACTTGGTAGTTTTAATATTTCTTTGAACCATGTGATTGACTTCGGTGTTTTTGGTTGTTTTAAATGAGGGATGACTTAAAAAAAATTAAATTGATTTTTTAGTTTATTTATATTTTTAGAAAAATGGGTTTAAACTCAAAACCCGTGAACCCATGGGTTGAACCAAAAAACGACCCTAGAAACTGAGAATCCGAATTGGGCTCTAAAACCCAAAAATCGAAATATGCGGGTTGGGTTCAGTTTTACCCCAAAACCGACCAAACGTAGCCCATGTTCACCCAAGGAAGCATTGCAAGGCAATTATGTGTTTCGGAACTTGGAATAGGCTCGTATTCCAAATCGATTTGTTATTGGATTATCCCAAATCAGATTTCGTGATACCCTATGCAAAAGGATCGAATCATAGATTTTGAAAATATTTATTATACACAATCGTTGAAATTATCTAAATAAACTATTGATATCCGAAACCCAAATTCTAACATTTGTAATCTCTTTCTTTAACATAACTAATATTTATCTTGATTTTGACATAATAATCATGTCTCTTAATAATTTTAAATATAATAACTACTTAAATTATTTTTTGTGGCGGTAATTATTTTTTTGGTTAGGTCTTGTGGAGTATTTACTACTAACTGTAAATATGATGGATGTAATGTCACTGTCATTTAATAATCACAACTTTTTTTATTAAAAATTTGAATAAAAAATATAATAAAAATGCTATATTATTTTTTAAAATTATTTTTTCATTCATTAAAATTGAAAAAATAATTAAAATAACCAAAATAAAAAAAGGCGAAAATTAAAAAGAAATCCAAACATTGAAAAAAAAATCCCTATTCTAATATTGGATCTTTCACCGCAAGAAATATCACTAAATCTTCGTCTGTGTAGTCGTCAGATTTCATTTTCAAAACCTCAAAATCGGCATTACACTTTAATGACGTTTGCGTGTCTACGGTTTTTTGTTACACGACCCATCACACAACCACAGTTTCTTGTAATTGGACATATAGATGAATTTTTCTCCAAAATGATCTATTATGCTAGAACCCGAATTTTTTGAACTCGAACCGAAGTCGTTTTCTTTACTTTTGTTTCTTTCTAACGGTCGACGTAGAGGTTGTTCATCTTTAACATCCATCGCCTCATCATTGATGTCGATGTGTGTCCAACCGTAAGATTGTTGTGAACGTGTACTTTCACCAGCGGCAGTTCTCGAACGCTTCAAGCCGGGAGAAGCCGCTTCTTGCATACGTTTCCATTTTGAAGCATCATTCAACTTTAGCCAATGTTGGATAGAGAAAAACTTTGCGGGTTGTTGTTTTTTTTTCATATTGTTCCATATCTGTGCTAAACACATCAAATCGCTTGACTCGATTTTGTGTAAGTTGGTGAGATTGTAGAAAATTTTGTCGAATTTGGTAAACTTCAACCTCAAATTGCACCACTTCGAAGTAATTTGCTCGAGATTTCGACTTTCATTTCCTATTAAATCATAGAAAACGATTCAAACTTTTTCTCAAAAATAACTAGACGTTTGAGCATCTCCAATTAACAGGTCTTGGGAAGCCGAAACCCACGTTTGTGCTAACTTCACTTCTTCCTCCTTTGTCCACACCACCCTTTCGTGTTGAGTGGTTTTAGCAGTTTTTTTTTTTTTTTTTTCATTTCTTCCTTCTTGGTCGGGGTTGTTCTAGTTGTGTTTTTCGGCTACGAAATTCGGAGAATTTGCTTGTGAAAAATGTTGTTGTGAAGGTTGTCGTGGTGAAAGTTGTGGTTGTGTACTTGTGTTTGGAAAGGTTGTTGATATACGAAAGCGGATTGAAAGTGTTTTGGATGAGACTGTTGATAGGGTGTGAAAGTTTGGTATGATTGTTAAAAAAGTTGAGTTTGTGGATAGGCTAAACCACTTTGGAGCAAGTTCATAAAACCACATTGAAATGATTCCATATTTAAGTATTGACGTGGAGTTGTATTTAACTCAAAATGATTATTGGGATTGTGGTTTCAATTAATTGGTGGGATATTTTGATTTTGATCCATGGTAAATATGTTTATGTAAATAGAGAAAAAGAACAATGGTGTCAAACTTAAGGTTGTATGGAGTTGTATTTATAGGTGAAAATGTATTAAAAAAATTTAAATAATAATAATCAAATTTTAGCCGTTCAACAGCTAGTCAACGAGATAAACAAAGCCTCCATCTCCCATTGGTTGTTGTGGTTCGAGCTCTATACCACAAATCACCACGACCATGACCGATCACAACCCACCTTAGTGGTGTTCATGGTTCATGGTCGTTGCCACGTACACCATAGAATGCTCCGTGATGAGTGGAATATTCCACAAGGCCTTAGCAACGAGCCATAACTGCTCACAAACAATAACATATTACGGTCTAGATTCGAGAAACTAGGTTCATGTTTATGGGTTATGCACCCTTCGTTTACTTTTTTATGGGATCAGCCATGGGCAACACATTCTTCTTAAAGCTTTTGAATTTTCCTACAATCTCATAAGAAGATTCATTGTTACTTTATCTTAATTTCTCGTAACATAAATATTAACCATGATTTGTATTGGGGAAAAGAACGAGAACAATCGAATGGGGGTTTAAAATGGGTAAATAGTGTGACAATTAACATACTCCAATTTCTATTAAAAATACAACCGTAATCTTTAAGGGGGTTTGAAATGGGTAACCGGTCATACGTTATGCTATCTAAGTGCAATTTCATGCCGACTTTCATCATATCGGCTAGATTTTCAGTTTTTTCACCTTTTAGATGAGATTTACGATAGTTTTGATGCAATGTGCCAACATAAAGCATATTGACGGGTATATACTATATTACTATCAGTGGCGAATCTAGGATTCAAACTCACATGTGTCCCACTTAAACGAAATGATAAAATAAATGGGTCAAAAAATTTGGTTGACGGGTCGATTTGTTAATAATATCATCTTAGCCAAATATATTATTAACTTTAATAAGAAAGATCAAAATAAATTTAAAAAATACTCACAAATGTCTTACAATTGTTCACGACGCGTTGACATATTTTTAAAAAAATCTATAAGTACATCGTTGCTAATACCATCTAACACATCTTTCTCAATATATGACACTAGACAATCATTCATAAATTGATCACTCATCTTATTACGCAAATCGTTCTTTATCAACTTCATCGCAGAAAATGCACGTTCCACCGTGGATGTTGCAACAGGCAATATCAATGCTAATTTTAGTAGAAGATATACCATTGGATATATTGTATGCTTGTTTGTTTCAACCATCATCTTTGTCAAGTTTCCAATTCCCTTCAAGTTATTAAACATTGCATCTCCATGTACACCCACAATATAATTTTGAAGACTTGCTCTAAGTGCTCCAATGTCACGTTCTGGGAACTCGTTAGAATAAAACATAGCCATCTTGAGTAGTTCATCCACATTAAACGCTTGAAAAGACTTACTTGGACACAAAGAAGTCATAGAAACAAGTAATGATGTGTTTACTTCATTAAATCGATTGTTAAGCTCTTGAGATTGCATATCTATGGCCGCAACAAATACATCAATCTTATAGTGGTGTAAGTAGTTAATCTATGAATTAAATAGAAAAATGTGTTAATGATTAATTTAGAAACTTGAAAAAATAAACAACTTTATAGTTTCTAACCTGTGAACCTTTGCGACGACTTGTTCCATTGTAATATGGATCTTCAATATTCAAAATATCAATTTCACATTTTTCGCAGAACAAAGTAACATCATTTGAAAGTAGTTCCCGTCCTTTTTTTTTGGAAATGGAACTTCCCTAACGAGGGTTTCCGGGCCAGCTTTCGCGCACCGACTAATTCCCC